GCATGTGCTCTCTCTTTATAGCTTTCATTCATCTTCTCTTCTCTTCTCTGTTATAGGATACAACATGGCAACATATTGTATGTGTGTGTGCTTGTTTGAAATACAAATTGAAGCACAGACAAAGAGACAAGAACATAGCAGGCAGTTTTCTTTTTGTGTGATACAGTATGAATGAAACACCTCTGATGCTGGTATGTGTCTGAAGTATGTTTGTGAGAAGAGATGATGGTAGAAGAAACAAAGACTTCGTGAGAGATCTGTATTCACCAGATGAGGAGAAACAGAGATGGAGAGAGAAGATACAAGGACCAGGACAAAAGAAAGTCAGAACAAGATAGCTACAGAGACACAGAAACAATTTATTTTGTCTGTGCGCTTGGCTGGCTGGTGTGCTCTACTTGATCCCCAGTCCAAACAGTGCACAAATACAGGAAAGAAGCTCTGTTGCTTACTAATATAAAGGAATATGTCCACAATGACCTGACATATTTCAGAGCAAACAACGTTTTACTGAAAATAATGCCAGAGCAGATCAAACGAATACTCAAACCTCACATTTTATTTTGAAGGGGAAAAACTGCTTTTGGACCAGAGATCAGTATATTTGCATAAGGGGAGATAAAAAATGGACAAACTGATTAATGTGCAGACCTTTAAAGTGGTTTGCCATCTACCACTTCTAACGCGTAATGTGTGGCCTAAACTCGAAAAATATTTCATGACACAACTGAGACCTCCACACATGCCAGGCAGCTAACTTGGTTAGCAAGATGAAGTAAAAACTCACTCTTAGGGTAAATGGGATGCAAATTTTGCCAAGTTTCCTTTTTAATAAAGCTTATAGTCAGGGCTGAATCAGTTGACCCTGAATCCACCCGTAGTTATGCTCCAATAGGTCTCGGCTGCTGGGGGCTTCCCATGATACATCGAATGTTTTTTTTCTACACTTACTTCTTTTCATCACTATGTGTTTATACGACACATCACCCCCAACTGATCGCAGCAGATTGCTGCCCCTTCTTAAAGCCTGGTTCTGCTGGAGTTTTCTTCCTGTTAAAAGGACGTTTTTCCTTCCCGCTCTTGCGAAGTGCTTCCTCATAGAGTTTGTCTGATTTCTAGATACCAAAAGCATTTTTGGATCAGGGTTAAGTGTTTATGTTTCTGCTGTCAAATTGTGCAGCCGAACTGTACGAGCGGCACGCTATAGCTGACTTCCTTCATTTTTTTGTTAGTTCTTTTTCAACCCCTGAGGTTATGATTAGTTTTCTGAACCCTGTCACCTTTAGAGAGATGCAAACTATGTATTTCCCCTGGTATCGCTTTTGGTCTTAGGTAATCCAACCAGCTTCTGGCTTTAGTTTTAAACTTAATGCCATGAGTAGGAGTGGTATTGATCTTCCCATCAGACTCTCATTAAATAAGCAAAGAAGCATATATCTCAGAAAGTGAATCTATTTCTATAATGAAAAGTAAGCAAGTGTTTTGTAACTTGCATTAAAAATAAGTGCAGTCATACACTGTAGCCCTGAGTGTGTCTGTATGTGTGTGCGAGCCTGTGACATCGCAGACAGTATCATCGCTCAAATGAGGATCTCACACACACACATACGCAGCTCCACATCTCACTAATCACCACTCTATTTCATTTTCTTGCAACTCAAAGCCACAGCCAAGCATTTCTCTCCCTCTCTGTCTTGCTCCCTCTACCACTCGTTCACGATTATAATTAAAACGATCTCTCCGTCTCTCACTGCCTCATCTCTTTTCCTCTCCATCTGTCATACTCTCATACTTTCAGAGACTGATGTCAATTGTTCAGCCTTCCTCTTTTCTTCCTCGTCTTGCACATCATCACATTTGTATTTCTTCATCTAGATCTGTCTGCCACAGTTAGGTGCTTTTCATTTGATCAAGTAATGTTTCTCAATCGCTCTGCTTTCATCTGGTGGTTTGGTATCGCCAACCAGCGAGAAGCTAAGGGCAGCAACGACTGCCTGCAGTTGCTCAGTTCACTGCAGAGGTTTCTGCTGAGAGGCAAACCCACAACTCTGTCAGTGATCCTGCTTCACTGACTGAGCTCCCAGACCAGTTGCACTCATGTTGCAGAAGGTTCTTATCTGTCTCTTTTTAATGAATGATGGCAACGTGATTGTCATTCTAATACAACCCTGCAGTTTCTTTTTTATCTCGAGAGTACTACCAAAGCATTTTAAAAGCAAATACTAGTATGTGATATTTTCTTACCCCAGATCAACTGATAATGATGCTAAATTGTCCTATTTTTTTTAAACCACTAGAAGAAAAATTGTTATTGTTAAATTTGAAAGCAAATCTTTTTAAATTGTGTCTGGCAGCAACTGTAATATTTATATGGGATGTGTCTCTATTCAGTTTTACTAACAGTGGAGATTAGGAGAGGGGTACCACAGTTGAGTGAAACTGAGGGAAGTGAATGCAGAAGAGTGCAGTCAGATTTTAATCCACCATGCAATTTCCTGATGGAAGAAATGCAATAACTAGCCATATGAATTCTTCTCATCAAAACTGTTTAAGCTGGGTATTTTTGCATGACATGGTAATATAGTGACCACTTACAGGACCTTTGTGTACTGGAAAATAAGCTTTCAAAAATCCAACACAGACAGCAGGTTTTGCTTTAATGCTCTCCTGTATTTTTGCATTCATTTTGTCCTGTTACACAAGCACTGGATTTAACAGATGGCAACAGGTCATATAGGGTGACGAATTTGAAGTTTCTGGTTCAAATCATCTTAACTGTGTATGGAGGTGGTCAGGAGAGAGTTTGTGTCTACAGCCATCTGTAACAAGGGAGCTCTGCCATAGTTTAGAGCTGTGTTTTAGCCAGTGGTGGTGGGGATCGTGTCAAAATAGTTTGAGGTATGAAAGCAGAAAAGTGCCGTAAGGTTTTGCATACCTGGATAGAAAAGCACACAGTGCAACACAGAAATCAAAATCAGTTGTGGATTGGCCTCTCCGGAGCCTGAACAGTGCTGCTGAAGCAGTGTGGGATCATGTTGACAGAGAACAGAACAAAGGGCAGAAAAAATCCAAAGAGCAGCTTTGAATGTCTTTCTACTGAGCTATCCCTGAAGACTCAGGCTGTATTGAAGGATAAAGGTGGCCATACCAAATATTGATTTTTCAAGCTTGTTAGAACTGTAGTGTACTGTGTTTCTCTGTATGCACACGTTTTGATAAATCACTGCATCTATTTCTGTCATGTATTTTTATCTAGCAAAATGTAAAGAAATGAGGGTAACTGAAGACTACACAGTACTTTACATAGTGCCCCTTCAGAGCAATAGTCACCTCGAGTTGCTTTTACACTATGACAAAGTCATGACTTAGTGGGACTTGAGTATAATGAAGGCATCATTCACATTATTAGTAACACCTTTGCTCTATATGAAGTGGCAAATACCTAATTTCTTCTGTCTGAGCTGAGTTATTTGAGATAAAAACGAATAAGACAGCCACTTCACCTGGCAGGTAGAAGCTTGTTTAAGCTAAAGTCTCTTACCACACCTTGTTTAGAGAGAGGTGATTTTTCTATAACTGAAGAGTTAACTTCGAAAAACCCCGGGCTACACCAGTGATGATTTAGGTGTGGCATTATAAAGTGGAGTTAATGTTTATGTAAATGGTCATCCTGTCCTTTGTATCTGTGCTTGAATGAGAAATATTTGTAGAGATTTTTCATTTTGACTTTATTTATTTTCTGCTGCTCACTGTTAACAAAGGTTTTTTGTTCTCTCAAGTGTTGAACAAGCTTTGTCAAAGACTGGGGGAGGTGAATAGTAACAGGTTATGGATAAAGTAACACGTTTTTGTACAATCATTGTAGCGAGGTGCTTTTGCAAAACTAATATTAAGTACTGGCTACATATCTGCAGTAAAGACTGCATTAGAGCAAATGTTTTCATAGTTGGTTTAGTCAGGTTGTACTACAAATGGGAGTTTACTGTTATACAGTAAAATGTAAAGCATATAGTAAAGCATTTTTTTTGGATTAAGGTGGTAAATTACAGTTTTTTAAAATTATTTAAACGAGTTCTAGTGGTTGAATGTTATGCTTGATTAATTCCTGACTTCTCAAAGATGTCCAGTATGTGTATAAAACATTTTAGCTTGGGTTTTTTTTTTGTAGCTTATTACAGGTGGTTTATTAAATTTATTAAATTAACCTCTGTACCTCATATACAAAGGGGTCTTTATTCTTTGAAAAGGAACATAGAAAATTACCAGTTGTTGTATTTTTAAACCATAAGGAGTCATTAACTGTTAAGACCCACTCAAATGGGGCTCTTAGGAAGCAAGACAAGGAGTTAGGAAATGACATCATACTGTACACACTAGAGTGGAACAGAAACTGTGGTCTCTATGAAGTTCGTTTGCGGTCTACTTGATCTAACAATTACTATCAATTTTAATCTATTTTAGGGCTAGTGTGTCAACACGGTCTCAACACTGTTATCTTCCTTCCCTGGCGCCATAATAATCCATAAAGATTAACAGCTTATTTTCTGATTGGGGAAGTGGAGGTGCAGTGGATACACCTAAGGCAAATGCTGTAAAATGGTGTCATGATGGTGGTAAGAAGAAAGGATTTATTGTAGTGTCATTGTTACGATGTGATAAGTGAGCTGGCAGTTGGAAGTATATTGCTCAGGATTTGAACTGCTGTAGTTTTCCGGGTTTAATGTCAGAGAGAAAATGCTTCTGTTTAAATAAGCAGATTGTGATATTTTTATTAGATAAATTAATAGCCATGTTCTTGAGGTTTATTAGGTTTATTGCAGTAACAGGTGTTAGCATGAAAGCACCCAATCGACTGGAAAGTAAGCTTAAACAAAACCTAGTCGTTTGGGAATGGTAAAACTGGCCTCACTCACCTCACTCATGTTTGTTTAGTGTATTTACTCTGTGTGTGTCATTTTGTGTGTTTTGGCTCTGATGGCTTGTGTTTTGTGTTTCAACAGCAATCACCTGACACTATCCCCGGACCAAGCACTGGACCTGCTGTACATAAGGTAAGGGAACACTCGCACACATGAAAGTGATGTCATACTTTTAGTTTTGCTGTCAAGCAAAAGTGTGTTTGTTTAATCCCAACACAAATTACATCAGTGGGGATATTACCTGAGGGTTTTTCCAGGCTAATTTCACCAACTACACAGACGCGTGCACACACACATACACACACAGCGTTAATTTGAAATTCAAATATGTGTGTGTACAGCACTCTGAAGACCTCAAAGATTAAATATCACACAGGAGAAGTTTTCCTTTCAACACCGGGGAAAAAAGAGCCAAAGAAAGAAAAAGTAAAGCAAAGAAATCAACATCTGAGGAGGAGCTTTGGTGTATTCAAAAGCAAATCTGTTACTTGTGCCAAAAAATGTTTGTACCTGCCAGGTTGTTTTGCCCCTCAGTACTTTGTATTTTTTATTGGCTGTATGTCATTATATACTTAATGAAGTCTCCATACACAACATCTGATGTAGTGCCTAAAGCATTACAACACTGAAAACCTTTCCATGAACACCTATGCAAGGAGATCTTTGAAAGAAGAAGCTGCAGTCTTTGCTAGGCCATTTTAAATCTTGCTATGAAGTTTGTCTAACAAACAGGAGGTGAAAACTAACTGAATCTGGTAACTGAAAGCTAGACTAATCAATAAACCTGGCGGGTTAGTTTAGATGATGATTAGTCAGACAGTTAAGACTGATCTCCACCTTACAACTTTGGGCCTCGTGAGTATGGATGAACTGAGGCTATTCGTTTCGCAGGCTTTGATGACATTACTTTGCCCGCCCCCAATAATGATCAGAAATTCTGCTTCGAGTTTAGAAATTTTAAATTCTTCCTTTATAGTTTGATGAACAACCACAAGCTAGTACCTTAAAGTTAAAGGGGTCCTGTTGTGTTTTTGCTTTTTGTTTGTTTTTGTTTTTTTCAAAAATCTACTATCACGGTAGTAAATGTTCATATTAAACATAACCAAAGTTTCAGTTAATTAGGAAATTAACTCAGACTTCAAACCACTTTAAATGTTCCTTTTCCAATACTGGTCAAAGGACAAATGAACTACTCCTGTAGTATTAGTTAGAATGTAATCAAACTTTCACACAGTGGTCACCTAATGGGTCCTCAGTTTCACAGTATTACTTTCATGCACACTACTTTCCGTTTCATCAAATTCTTGCTCCTGATGTACTGAACAATATTCAGTTCAAACTATTGATGGCAGGTCTTGATGTTAACAAGTTTTGCATAAAATGATAATAAATAACTTACTGAAACACCAAATGATGTAATAACTTGTTGAAATGTTGCTTTTCCACGTTGTTATGGAGAGTGTTGTCCTATTGGTTGGGTCGCACATTAGTAAGGCACGGTTGTTGCCTGTAATATGGTAATATGGTCAATGCTACGGCATGCTGATGCATTTACATATTTCCATTCTTTATTTGGCGTGGTTACCGTTGACCATGGACTCATAATACTCCTGAACCTTCATTTAGTGGTTAACTAAATTCAGTTGTCTTGGATATAACAGTGTGCTACATTTCACGCACAAGAATAACCTGTAACTTTGATGGAGCCTTTGTGAGCCTGATGAACTTGTCTAACACTGATGTTCTGGTTTTCTGCTCTTACCTTTGCATGATAATATGATGACAATTATTAAAGTTGCTGTTTACACCCAGGTCTGTCCAGGCACAGCATTAAACCTTGGTTATGAAACGTTAAAATGTCATTGTTCTGTCCTAGTGGATTGTCTTTGTGAAAATTGGTTACTTTTATAAAATTTGTGAGTTCTAGCCAAAAAGAGTCAAAGTGATCCTGATTTTTTAACTATCAAAACTTATAAAAATTCTTTTTGAGTCAAAGTGAAGAAATCCTCTCACGGTGTTCATGCTTCTTCTCATCTTTTTATAATGCCATTATATGCATTATATATATAGGACTCTTCAGGTACCATGTGTACTGCCTAGTGACTTATCTATTATGAAAAACCTGTGTACACAGCAGCCACAAAGCTGCACTACATAAAAAAGATGGGATAGGGACATAAAGAGAGTCTCTAATGTTGTAACATAATGTGAGTGGAGCCTCATCAGCTTCTAAGTGAGCCTCACTCTGCTGCATGTAACAGGGAATATGAATAGAACAGAACAAACAGCCCATGTAACCAGCTTAATTGAAATACGGTCTTATTTACGGTAGCATCAATAGCAGGATTATTGCTGAGCGTGTAGACGGTCAATGTTCAGTTCCTGAGGGGGAAAGAAATCGAGCTGTCCTTGTGAGCCAGTCAATGACAGCTGCATGTAGCCACATTAGCTTGTTATACTTAAAAATTCATGTTTAAACCAATACTGAGATTTTTGTCATTTAGTCCTTCTTTAGTTTTTAAGTTTGCAGGTTTTAAAATTATAACACTATTTTTTATGTTATTGTTTGTTTGTCAGTCTTGTTCCCAGAGTTTTCCATGTGCTGGTCGGGCTGTGAGGAATGCTTTCTTGTCACATGGACCATACCCAGCGAAGGACAAGATACACCTGGCCAGAATCATACGGTACACTTGTCTCTGTCTATTTGCGTGTCTTTGTGCAGACCTGAATCGATGAGTCCAGTGAAGCATATACACTGACTCACAGTCACTCTTGTGCTCCATCCTTATTGGTCGCTCAACTTGTTTTTGCTCTGTGACGAACTAAGCAGGATGTAGATGTTTTGCAGTGAAGCACAAGGTAGTCTGGGAATACATGTACTACAATGGGGCATGTAACGTTACACTGAAATGTATGTAAAATCAGTCCAAACATCTTGGGGAAATAATAAATAGATACTCTTAACAATCATTGCACGTACAGTCAGACAAACGCATTTAGAAGCACACATGGATGAGGAGTTTATTTGAGGGAACGCAGATGGGAATAGTTCAGTGTTTTGGAGGAAAAGGCTTACAGAGAACTAATGAATAATCAATGGGTATTGACTAAATAAGAATGACAAACTGTGTGCCAAGGGAAGAATAGCGTATGAGTGTGTGTGTGTGTATGTATTATGCATGCTAACACTGTGTAGTCATATTTGTGTGCTGAAAATCTTCATTTGTGTATTTTAACAGGCGTAGCTATGTGGGAGTGGAGCTGGTGCAGTGGCTGTGTGAGCAATGTGTGTATGTGCGCTGTCGGACTACCGCTGTGCGTGTCTGGCAGGTGCTGCTGGAGCTGGGAGTCCTGCTGTCTGGTAAAAACACATACACGCACAAACACCGACCATGCCTGCGGAGTGTACTGCATTTTAACATTCACAGTCACCTTCAACAACAATCTACACATCTTTAGAGATACCAGTTCCAAACAAAACAAAGTAATATAAAAAGCTTCATTTTCTGATTCCACCTGATTTTAAATTAAGATCTTGTCAAATGAACTATCAGAATTAGCTCTCTGAGATAAAACTTCCAACAATTAAATTACACTGAAGCCCCCAATAACCCGAATAATCTCAATAATTATTCTCCCCAAAACATCTCCCTGTTAACAACACCCTGCTAAGCACTGACACATCTACGAGTCTGTTAATCTAATATCAGACTGCTCCATTCATACCCCGCTGTGCCTGGGTGTAAGTGGACTAGTAACAGGGTAATATAAACATTTGTTTGCATTCTTCATCTTTGTAAATTCATCTTTTAAAGGCAGTAAATGTTTCTTCAGAGGATGAACAGTTGTGTTCAGGTGCAGTTCATCAGTCTGGCTAATCCACAGTTACTCATAAAAGGACTTCGACTCTGTCTGCTGTGTCTCTGCTCGTTAACTACAACTTAGAAGTGCTCATTCGTTTTTGTCAGTACTAGTTCGATATGAGGAAAAATTCCCACACTGTGCACCTCTGCTAAAATTCCACCTACACCATGTGTGCCTTGAGTCCCTGAATCCAAGATATCTGGAATTGAATGAGTTTGTGATATTGACTTGAAAATCAAAATGATGTCTCCAAATTTCTTCAAATGTTTTATGGATCTGTGGTGATATGATGTTCAGTTTTGTTTTAACTCGCAGTCGTAAATAATCCTGCCAGGAATTCTTTGATTCAGATGTGGATTGACTAAACTGCCTCGAGCCACATCTCTGGTTACATTTTCATGCAAATCTATACAAAACTTTATGAGCAATCATGCTAACAAACAAACAGACAAACCAGGCAAAGAGGAGGAGGTGTGATTGGCCTGGTTTGTCTGTTTGACATGAAGGCGTTGACTCACATCAGTACTTGTCTAGACTTCACTCCGTGTGGATTTCACCCACACAGAATACATTTACAGTGGGCACAGTTGTTGTTTAAATAGCTGTTAAACATAAAAATCAAATCATCGTGGCTTAAATAATTTTCTTTCTGGTGGTTGTTTTAAGAGTGTGACAGCCTTTTTTGTTTGTTTGAAGCTTTCTTCTAGAAGGCTTTACCGCTGTAGATATTATAATATATACACTTGCTGGCCACATTATTAGGGATCACTTACTATTACCAGGACACCTATTTGCCTACAGAACTGCCTTAATTCCTCATGGCACATATTCATCAAGGTGCCGGAAACATTCCTCAGAGATTTTGGTCCAAGTTGACATGACAGCATCACAGTTGCTGCACATTTGTCGGTTGCACATACACAATCCAAATTTCCCGTTCCACCACATCCCAAAGGTGCTCTATTGGACTGAGATCTGGTGGACACGATCAGAAACAAAACGTGAGTAGACTCTGGTGTTTCAACGATGCTCAGTTGGAACTAAGGAACCCAAGCTTCAAATGCTCCAAAACCTCCACCAGCAGCTTGATCTGTTGACACAAGCCTGCATGGAGTCATGTTTTTCTTTTCAATGTTGTAGCACAAATTGAGACTCGTCAGACCCACATCTTCTATTGTCCAGTTTTGGCGAGTTTGTGTGACTCAGGCCTCAGTTTCTTTTCTTGGCACTCGGTGTGGTTTTCTGCTGCTGTGGCCCATGTGCAACTCAAGTTTCGATATGTTGTGTTTAGAGATTCTTTTTGCATACTTTGCGTTATTGAGTGTTTTTTTGAGTGTTGTCTTCCTATCAGCTTAAAGCACTCTTGTCTTTTTCCACTGACCTCATATTTTCACCCAGAGAACTGCCACTCACTAAATATTTTCTCTTTCATGGCCATTTTGTGTAAACTCCAAAGATGGTTATGTGGGAGAATCCCAGTAGATCGATAGTTTCTGAAATACTCATTTCAGCCTTTCTGGCACCAACAACCGTGTCTCGTTGAAAGTCACTTAAATCAACTTTCTTCCTCAATTTGAGGCTGTTTTAAATTCAGTAGTTTAAAATGTGTATCTGATAAAGTGGCCACTGAGTGTATAATGTTTATCTCCACAAAGATTGCACTAAATAATAATCAATAAACAGAACAGCAACGTGCCACATGGCAACTTCTGTTGAGAAACGCTTGAGCGCGTACCTGACTGATTGTTAGCTTTGATTGTGATTTAGGCATAACAATCTTTGATCATATTTATACACTTGAACTATTAATTATATATTACACGCTTAATGAGACAACATGGTTCTGATACAAAAGAAGCCCCCTTTAAGCATGCTGCCAGCATATGTGCTTTAAAAGGTGCCATTGCTTCTCTTTCATCACAGTGTATGTGTTTCTATTTGTTGTCTCTCCAGTGGACCAGCGGGTGGTGTTTTCAGACTCCAACTCTTACTACCAGTTCAGCTTTGAGGAGTGTGACTCTCCCTCCTGTGAATTTCGTTACAATGAGGGGGAGTGGCCAGAGGCTGTTAAGCTCCTCCTACAACTAGCTCCATATGTCCAATTCCGCTCAGGGGGTGGAGCCAATAGTCCGTAAGTGTCCAGTAAAATCTGATCATGTATGGATTTATAGAAATGCACACTATGTATTGGAAAGATTATGTTGTAAATCTGAATCACTTATAATTCATGAATAGTATTTTAAGTATTGGCCTCAAATATTTTCTTGCAGATAAAATTTTGAATAAAAGATACAAAAATTCATGAATAAATACACTGCTCAGGAATAACATTCATTATGATACATGTTAGTGGGTGGACTATATTGGGAAACAAGGGAACATTTTGTCCTCAATGTTGATCTCCTAGAAAAGCAGAAAAAATGGGAAAGCGTAAGGAATTGAGTGAGTTTGATGAGGTCCAAAATTGTCGTGACGATTCTGCAGTGGTCCAAGGAAGGAACAGCGGTAAACCAGTGATATGGCCACGGCTGGCCAAGGGTCACAGATGCATGTGGGGAGCGAAGACTGAGTTGTGTGGTCCAATTCAACAGACGCATTACTGTAGGTCAAATTGCAAACAGATTTAGTGTTAGTTCTGATGGAAAGGTGGATGCCTGTCCTGATCTTGTCCTCAGTTTGAAAATGCCAACAATGGGCGTGTGAACATCAGAACCAGGCAACGAAAGAAAGTGGCCTGGTTTGATGAATCATGTGGATGGCCGGGTACGTGTGCGTCCTGGCAACAGGATGCACATGGAGGCAGTGTGAAGCTTCGGGCAATGTTCTGCTCGGTAACCATATGGGACAAACGTGTCCGATCCATGGGGACCCCCACCTCACAACTTACAGGACTTAAAGGATCTGTTGCTAGAATCTTAGTGACAGATACCACAGCTCCACTGACCTGAAGTGGAAGCTTGTTGCACTAATAAAATATCGAAGCTGAAGCGACAGGTTTCCGGTTTATATTAGAGATTGAGGCCATTTGTCTATTTGATGTACTGTGCAAAGAGACATGTGACTGTGTTTGACTTGGCGGAAATGTTGCAATCCTTGCAAGTACATATCTGACCTTGCAACTCAAATACACACGCTGTCCAAGATTTTCCTCAAATCCCAACAAGGAACTTAATCTCTATTCACTGTTTCAAATCCCCAATCTGCTTATGTGAGAGACGCATCCAGTTGCTGGCGCACACACCTCCGCAGCCCTAGAAAAAAATGAGCCTTCGCCTTTGCACACAAGCTGATGCATGATGCGATCGCTCAAATATGCGAGATGAGCTCTGATGCACGCTTACGCATACAGAAACAAACATGCAGAGCGGTGTCATCCAGAGTTCCCTGCTTTGTTGCTCCGTGTGTGGGGTTCCTGTCGAGGCTGCTACCGAACTCGATGTGTCAGTCAGACAAAAGCAGGGACCAGTGTGTGTTTGTGCGAAGGAACAAGGGAACGTGCCAAGGAAATTCTGAGTAACAACATCAAAAGGTGCATTTAGAGACACTAGAGAGACAAAAAGACAGTCAGGGGGAATTGAATGTCATATTTGAATGTGACTATCATGTATTGCATTGTAGGTATGGTTATTTTCTATACATAATAATGCACGACATGTGCACTCAGACTCCTACCAGGTGCTGGAAGAGTTTATAAATTTGATTTGAGAAAGAAAAAGAAACTTATTGCATATTTAACATGCTGAATCACTCATTTATATTTAAAAGACTGTAAATATGTCTGTCCTATGAATCAATATGGATGTAGTGCCATATTGGCTCAAATAGATTGTAGATTTTCTTTTGGAAACTGCATCTGAATAAAATGAAGCAATTTAGTTTTTATAGACCAGATAAAAATGAGATTTTCCATTCAGGATTCTCGCACTGCTACTTTGACTCTGTTGCTTTGTGTCTGTCTTTGCCTGTCGCGTCATTTCTCTTCAGGCTATTTCTCTCTGTCTTTCTCTCTTTCTTACATCCTCTGGCCCTCTTAGAGAATGATTGTAGCCGTTGTCGAAAATAGCTGACGTTTCTCTACTAGTTGCTTCAAAGTGAGCTGATGAATTGTTAAATATATGACTCAGTTGATATTGATTCTCTTTGTAACTGTAATAAAACATCACCTAACATTACATAATGCATATTTTAAAAAAGATGCTGCAGCAAAATTTAAATTGCAGTCTGGTGTGACTGCCTGCCATGAACCGTTGCGTCATGTGTTTTACCGTTTAATCTAACAAGAGAACAATTAAAACGATACTGGCTGCACAGCCTGAGCTGACCATTGAGTGATTGCTGCTTCAGTAAAGCAAAAGAAGGACACGTCTCTAATTAAATGGGCTTGCTCTGGTGCATCATGTGTAGAAGAGGTTTACTACTTTCATTCAATATCATTCAGTTAACGCCAGCACTGTCACTCTGTCTCCAAGGACCTCTGCGTCTCAGCAACATGACACGCTCTCAGGCACATTTTCATCACTGAGATTTGTCAGTTCATTGTTAGTTTTCGCTGTTATAAATTGACAGGAATGTCATGGTTTCAGGCAGATTGCAAGTTTAAACTTGCGACATGAGCGAATCCAATATTGTCATACAAGAATCTTTCTTTGATTAAGTCAGTGACGTTTTCATTTAATGAGCTTTTTTTGACAACAGCAATTAAAAAAATTGAGATTGGCATCATTCTTTTTCCAAACGCTTTACCTCCCATTACATAAAGAGGAAATCTTGCTTATATAGAAATGTCTTGGGTACTCTAGATGTGAACGTCAATATATCTCATGCACTGAATATCAACTGCATACAGCTGCCAAATCCCATGACACAGCGACATGCATATGAGCATCTTCCCAGTGTGACATAACTCAGTATAATAAGCTCTGCTACATTTACATTTAAGGATTTAAACTAAACATTACATTTTGAATATTATGGAGTGCAGTACAACTCAATCTACACTACAGTAGTTTAACAATTTACACAATATTGTGTCAACTGCTTAAAAAGTTAATAAGTTGAGATCACAAGCAACACTAAAAGTGACAAAAGGAGGAAATGTTTCAAAAATAACAATTTATTAGACACTGGATCCCTTTCTTATCCTGCATGACACTGTGTATTTCATATACTGTAACCCATAGTCCATATACACACTTTACTGTGTGATGTATGAGGTGGTTGTCAATAACAATTATTTTGCTGGTTTCCCTGTCTGTGGAAAAACGCTGTTCTCTGCACTGTGCAGGAGAGGCAGACTTGCCAGGAGCTAAAATATGCCACCGTTCGCCTGAGAGGGGAAAACGTACTTGCTTGCTTTGCATAGTCCTCTGGTACTACACTAGACGATCTATAGCCCTCTCTATTTTAAAAGGGAGGCGAGTAAAGCCAAAAAAGCCAGTCTAGCAGAATAGCGAAGGGTTTTAGCTAGAGAGGAGGTTATTCCAGAGAACACGTCCTCCTTATGATTCACACTCAGTCTGTCGCAGTCCGTTGAAAAGCCTTTATTTTGTTGTTAGACTAGAAAAATTCAGATCATGGCTAAATGCGTGTGCGCAGTGTCTACGTTATGTAGTTGTATTATTCTGACCGAAGAACTCTGTGTCAAAGATTGCTCTTTGTGCCGTGCACTCTGATACAGTTTGAACAAGGACGTGACCCATCATCATAATCTCGTATCAATTTCTGCTTTGTGTTGTTTAATGACCGGTGACACACCTCCTACTGCACCTCTTTTTCAGCTCTGGTGCATTCAGGCTCATGGTGAGTCACCAAATTACCAAATGAACAACAGCAAACAAAATTAAGGACACTGTTTGGAATAAATTTAGCATTTATCATGGCTCAGAATAGACTTTGTTTTGTAATGGGCTTCTAGATTTGATGGGTAATAAAAATGTAAAGTATGAAACAAACAAAAATGAATAATTTGCTCCTATTGTTCCACTGAGTTTGTTAACAGAAACCAGTAATTCTGACCAATTAAGCTATAAGGAAAGGTTTTCTCTCCTTCCAGGCATCTGATGTCTTGCCTGCCTCTGTCTCTCTCTGTCTATGCCAAAGCTGAAGTGTCAGGCTGAAGGCTATGCGTTATCACCATCTCTCCTGCTTCTGCATCCACCGTTCTCTTATCAGATTACAGTGTAGACACACACACAAGCACAAATGCACACACACAAAGTCACACAGGGCTTCATCTTCTTTCCTCTACAACTATTACAAGTGCCTACGGCACCTGTTGATAAAATCCAAATTGTATGCAAATTGGGGCATGTGTGTGTACGTGCGTGAGTGTGTGTTTGTGTGCCAGAGGCAGGGAGAATATATGTGTGTGTCATGTGGGGGTGAGGCAGTATGTGGGAGACCAATCCAAACAGTGGTTTTGTAAGAGAACATATTAGATGAGAGGCCCTCGGGTGCAGTGTGTCGCCACTGAAGGCAAACTCAATGCAATCTTGTATTATTACTGAGTTATACTGCAGAGTTTACCCCCAAACAACCGCCTGTTTACCCAAAACACACACACACACACACACACACACACACACACACACACACACACACACAAATGAAGTTAAACCTAAATATATTCACAGAGCACTTTTAGAAAAAAAAACTCAACAAGAGCTGCACATCTATATAAATTGTGAGCCGATGTACTCACTGCCAGTACCTACACACACACAAACTAGGCCACTTTAACTTCAACAGAAGGGTGTGTCTCCGAGCTGTTTTGCATAAACCACATGAAAAAGAGAAAGGGCCGATGAGAAGTTCCTAATACAAAACCATGCAGGCCCTGAGGAACTATAAACACAGGATGATAACTCAGATGGGTCGGTACAACTTTAGGGAATACGATTTTCCCCGTGAATTCACCTTAGCAGTCATGTTTTCATTAAATTTTCATTAAAAATGTTTAGCATTCATAATCAGCTTTATAGAACAATTAAGTCAAAACTCCTATTTAATTGTAATTGGCAACTTTGAATACAGGTAAAACAAAGTCACGAAAAAGTCTTGTGCACTTTCACGATATTTTACAATGAGATTTCTCATCGGTTGTTGTTTGAGAACTTGTTGTGCCACCTTAATGAAGTCACTGTAAAATTAAAATAAGGTTCCACCACAAAAAAGTCAGCTTATTTAATTTATTAAATAGGAAAGTGGTGATGTACCAACATCGCTGCTATTCAGACGAATAGAACCAATTTGGATCTGGTTGTAGTTCTTTCTTATTAAACCAGGGGGCAGTGTAGTGAGGACTTTAAAAAGAAACTTTTGTCATTGTGGGGTTTTTTATTTAAATTTTACGAACCAGTTAGTTACCAGTAAAGGTGTTTCTCTCTCTCCAAGGTCAGAGGAAGACTCTGAAGGCAACAGGGACATCTGCAGTGAGATTCTTCAGATGAAAGCTCTTGAGAGACTCACTTCTACGGTCAGTGTGGCAGGGTCAATACAGCATCATCATCTAATGAGATAAACATTAGATGAAAACTGGAGTGTGTTATAGTTCACCAGATGTGTTTGTGTATGTTTTTGTGGTCTAACATCTTCAGTCTTCTTTCTTATAGGTGCAAAGTGAGTTGGCGGCTGCTCTTGCGCGAAAGACACGTAAAGCTTGTAAGTACATTTAGTTGATGCGTATGTGTGTGTGTTTTCAATGTTTCCACAGTGAGAAGACAGAATGAAAAGGACAATGTCATGTCGTAAGATGAAACGTGTTAATGTGCTGCTGTTTGATTGGTTACAGTGTCAGAGCAGGACTCTGAGACAGCAGAGACGAGCCACCAGGAGCCTCGAACGCCCAGCGAGGAGAGCAGTCCGGTAACACACACAGTAAAAACCGTCTCTAACCCCCCTTTTTTTCTTTTAATCATAGTCTTGTCCTTCAATTAATTTTTCAAAGTTAATTTCATTTAAAAAAGGAATCTGCTGCTTCGACAGTTTGCACTTGCCTGAAGTAGGCCTACAGCTGAATCAGTTTGTGTTCTTGTTGCATTACTGTTAAGAAGCTATTTCAGTGTCTAAATAGGGCGCAATAAACACATTCTAGTAGCTCCTTAATGCAGCAATACAAAGTCTGATCCACAGACAAACTTTGTAGATCCCCTCCAAATGAAGAGATAAAAATGATAATTGTTTTGCTTAATCTATCTTTGTCTCTTAAAGGTTGCAGGTTGAATTTATGTAGGGGGTACACATGGGGTTGAATGTAGAAAACAGGGTCAGAGCAAAGTGCAGAGGGAGATCTGTTTGGTCCCAACTATGTAGAGCCAGAACTTTCTCTCTATGAATTATTAATTCGGTGGATACACCGGAGAAATGAGGAAAGAGCAAGAAAACAGGAGGAAGAACAGCTTTTAAACACAATTGCACACATATAGTAATGTGTACGGATGGGTGACAGATTAAAGGAAAATCCATATAGCGTCGTAGTGAGGTGCTGGGTCATCATGCAACACTAGAATAGCTTCAGTGCTTTTTAGCATCGGTGAAACACCATTCTTCTGAAGGTTATTCCCTAGTTGGTATTTTGATGATGGTGGTTTAGAGCACTGTCTAAGGCTAGGATTATACGTGCTTGAAGACATGCACATGGATCACAAAGAAGTAGTTGTTGTCAAGTCTGCCTGGAGCATGCAAGTGTAGTTTGTGGACAGTACAGTTTGATACAACTAGGTGCACTTTCACAACGTGTGAAAGTGCATCATAAGCTGTTCACCCTCTAATAATGAAATTTGTGTCTCTCAAATGCTAAAAATACATTAGCCTGACACCTTGGTCCTAAGCCTCTCCTAGGTGGGATGATTGCAAAGGCCATAGCATATTAGGCTTGTAATATTGGTAGTCAGATAATCATTTAGTGACCATTCAAGCCCCATGCATATTGAGACCTCCTGGAGGAGACTACTGCAGTCAAGACAGAAATAGTTCATCATAGGAAAAAGGCACTGTGCATTGAGCCATCCCTCCTAGATGTACATAAACCATTTCATACACAGAGCCAACGGATCACTTTACATTTTACTTCCACTCTTTGGTTTTTGGCTCATCACACTTCAGCTTGTTGTGATGCCTGTGTTAGATGTCTCTATTATTTTCAGTGTAAATGATGATCAATTTGAAAAAAATGTAGAGGTCTAAAGCAGATAAAGTATTCTTTAAAGAGTAAAACATATATGTTTAAACATATTTATATTTTGCTTCTTGTTGGTATGTGTTTGTGTTGTGCTGTTGCTCAGTTGTTGCTCCTCTGTGGATTTTTATATTTCACATATACTGAAAAGCTAATTGACAGTGACACGTTCCTTTTACTCTCTTGATCCCTCCTTTTAAATATCAATCTACAAAGTCTAACTGCACAGTGTTATTTTGTTTGAATATGTCGTGTTATCTGGATTTTGGCAGCTTGGAAGTGAGTTCTGGCTAACATAGTAAGCTATTTATGAGACAAGCTCAAATTTTCATATTTGTTTTGTTGGCTGAGGAAAAAGAGAAAATATCCAAATGAGCCCAAACACATTGTGAATCCAGCCGCTTCGAAGTAGAGCTGTTCTTAACGAGGAATCGTCTTCTCCACTCTCATTCCTCATTCTGCCTCTCACTGACTACAAACGCATTAAACTAGTTTTGCTTTAATTACCAGCAACAAATGAAGTGCATAATTTAAATGAATTAGAGTCATTTGCAAATGAATATAGGCACTAATGTACATTTACAAGTAAATGATGTAGGACTCCTCACTATGTTGGTACAGTCGTGAATGCTGTGGAAACTGCTATGCAACCCAGGTGGATACAGCGAATAGTGAATCTGATCCAGACATTACATTGATCCTGCAGGAGCTGTTTAGGAGCTGCTGCAGACTGTAGTGGTAACATAGTTGTTGCATGTTAATAAACAATACAACTGCAAAACGTATAGGATAACAATGTGAATTTCAACTTTCATTTCCTTTGGCGTACAGTTTTTTTTTTTTAACCTATGCAGATATTTTGTTAAACTCAAAAGGCTCTAAAATATAGTGCTTTCTAATTTAGCTTAAACACTTGAAGATCATAGAAAAATTAAAGCAAATCAAAGAAACAGGTGGACAATTCAAGTACACACATTTGTCAGCGTTTTATCTTGGTGTGTCGTTGACAGGAAGCTGAAAGCAGGTTTGCAGGAAGTAGTAAGGGACATGGCACAGGGGTTGTGATATAATGTCTATGTGTACGTGGCTATTCTGCCAGATAAGTGGTGCCATTGGGGGAAGGGGGGGTGTTTTCCTAGTAAACAAAAATGAGCGATGTTCTGCAGGGGTGTGTGTTACCCTCTATTGGAACATGGCACCGTGGGATAGTTGAGCCCACAGGAAAGGATACCCACCCACCCCCAGCCAAATGAACCCCCCCCCCCCCCCCGTCCCCTTTCTATCTCTCTTCCAAGGAAAATAAACAGACCAGGCTACCAGCCACCGGTGATAACCATCATACTAGCACCCTGGGGAGCACACTCACACAGTAATGTTTTCTATTGTCAGGTATATCTAGGGACAAAAGCACTGGTTTCTCCAGAATCCTTGAGCTATTTCAGGGAAATATGTTCCTGTTTCATTTTCCTTTTTTAGGGCCACAATGTTATACATTCCTTTTTATCCACTTTCTTATTTCATCTGCCTCAGCTAGACTACCAGGACAGTAGCAGATTTCTGTACTGACTATAGAGGGGAGGAGACAGACACCACACTTGCACCCTAGCACACTATTCTCACACAGACACCCACTCCCGCCCACTTATACTACTAATCACACACTCTCATTCCTTCTCCACCAGATCCTCTGACACAGAGCAGTCAGACTGAGACAAAGAGAAGTTCAGTAGATAAAAAGGAATTAGTGACTGTAATAGATAGAAAAGAATAAAGAGACGAGTAATAATAACAGGGAGAACAAGATTAGATAGAAAGAGCTAGGATTACCACATTTTCTTATCCTACTCACATGGATATATAGGGGCAACAGAAAACTTCTCCTTGTGTGTTTCTGGATTATGACCAAACTTTGTTGACCTCCATTCCTCAAACATACTCTGAGTGTTTCTACAATGTCTTGGGACTGCGGGCTGAGATATGTCTTCATGCCTCCTGCGTTGCAGCTGGGAGGTGTGTGTGCTTTGCGGGACAGCAGCAGCAGCGGCGGCGGAGGGATGGGCACCGTGTGCGGCCGCGAGGAGCTAACCAGCCGGCTGGGGCTGGAGGCCGTGCAGCGGCTGGCCAAAGACGGCTGTCGGCTGCTGCAGAACCACAACTACCGTCTACCCGACAGGAACCAGGCGGTGAGTAGAGAGTGCTATAGTTTGATATTATAGTACATCTTATAGTATCGGCAGGACTGCTGACGTTGTCTTGTGAACTCTTACCATGTAATCTGCAGACAGAGTTGTGGCTGCACGCTTAATGTGAGTGGAGAGTAATGGACGTCATGCGGTTAATGTTGTCATTACTGTCATCATTTTTAAGCAGGGACACACACACCTCAGGTCAGAGTTACTCATGGATTCAGGCCAGGGATCATGCGAGTAAATCCTCCTCAGAACCATCATTATTGGTGGTTCTGTCCAGCTAAGGGATAGGCACGCATGCATGCATGTATTTTCCAGCACGCCTGGCCTGTTTAGACCTTTTCTCAGTACATGAGGGCACAATTCTGCACTGACATGCACACGCCAACTAAAGTTATCACTGAAGACGCCCAGAGCTCGGGTTCATTCAGATCACTTTACTTTAAACATACACCAGTTCTGTAGCTCATCTAATGTGGGTGTTAATAATGGCTTAGCGCATCGTGATCTCATACTCTTTTTACACGCTGTCAAGTACTGTGTGTGTGCGTGTAGATGTGTGTGTGTGTCAGTTTGCTGGCTAGAGCTTATAATCATTCGTGGGTGCTTGCATGTGTATGTTCATGTGCTGCTTGCCCTGTGGCAGGCTGAGTCAGAGTGGGCTGATAATGAGCGGGGTGTTAGTGAAGCGTTGTACTGTATGATCCTGCTCTACAGTACACCTGAGGGCCGGAAACGAAGGAAATGCAGTCACATTTCACCCTGCATCACCGTGGTTGTGTGTCTGTGTGAGTCTGACTGAAGCCCAGCCTTAGGGATTTTCTAAAGTGTGCATAAATCTAGTTTCATTTCTTGAAAATGTACACAATAAAAATATACTGTATTTTATCATCTTATATATTAGAGGAGGGATGCAAGAGAGAGATCAACTAGACTCCAATCTAATCATTATGCTCTAAACATTTAGGTATCAATATCATTATATCTGTATTTAGACTCTTGAAGGATTTATCTCATGTAACATAAATCTGAGCAAGTATAGCTTTAAGTTAATGTAGTTTATTGATCCTGCAGTCGTGCCCATTTTTTACTTTGTCAGAGTAAACAGAACACTGTTTGGTTATTCCAGGATGTCAAACAGAAATTCAAAGCAGCCTGGCTGTGTGTAGATTTCTTTACATAAATGACGCATCAACACTGAAAGCATTTTTTCTCTATAAAGTATAATTTACATTTAAGGTGCCTTATCGACAAAATCTTGTTGAAAAGAAAAAGTGCACTTGTTCATACCAGAACACAAGTAGTGTAAGGTGCATTACTGGCCACATTTCTTATTTGATTTATCCATGCCTTTAATATTATAGCATAAAAGTGTGGTGTGACATCCCCAGGTGTTGCTGTATAGCACTACAGTGTAAGCAGTTTAAACTGCATGTGACCAATACGTGTGTCAGTTTTGAGCCACACAACATCATAAATTATTAAAAACATCTTTTGAAACAAAGATGCTTTGCAGCCCTGATTAAACTCAGTTGACCTTTTATTCGTAGGTGTTATTGTTTCAGCTCATCGTTCAGCTCAGGCTGCAGAATTTAGCAGAAACCAAAGCTAGACGACCAGCTCGATACACAACAGAAACCATTCTCCTTTTACTGGGTTGTCATGGTGATTTTCTTTTTTTTTTGTGACAGATAAGCTCTGACAAACCAGTGTGGGCTGTTTCCATAGTGATTTAACTCCTGTGTCATTGCATTGCTTTGGGTTTTTCCATTTCTCAATAGTCATTTCTGACTTGCATTTTTGTTACTCTTCCACATTTAATCAGCATTAGAAGTTTCGAGAGGTCCACCTACACAAAGGGTTCTTCGGTGTTACACCATGCACTACACACTGGGCAGGTTTTGGGATTAATGCTTTATGTGTGTCCCACTATGTGTGGTTGCACATACTATCTGTGTGCTGCTGACTTAGAAGCATTGTGTGTTATACTCTTATCCATTATTTCCAGGAATCAGGCACAGAGCTATCATAACAAAGATATGGCTTGGTCAGTGTTGACACACACACATACATTAGCAGGAACAGGAAAGGAACAGAGAGTGCTTCCTTTAGGCTTTGCATGGGCATCCACCTTTCCTGACAATGTTACGTCATGCTGTGTGTCTGTGTGTGACTAACTGATAGAAACAGTGAGGGTAAAAGAGACTTTCAAATCCTGTACAAAGCTGAATATATATATAATAAATATATCCTTCGTTTTTCACACTCAGATTGAACTCTTTGACCCTGTGACGAGTGCAGCGTGTCCCCAGGTTTCTGAGTTTTCTTTTTTCTGTTTCGACTTCTCAAACCTTTCGAGCATGAAGTCTGCACAATTTGGAGACAGACAGGGGGCGAGGGAGCGGGGGGGACAGGAAAAATTGGGTGAACGCAGGAGAGCTGGAAGTACAAATGGCTTGAAGAAGGAGCAACGAGAACAGGAAGAAACGGACCGATACACCTGTTAGCAGAGAACAAGTGAATTTCTAAAGAAATGTCAGAAGCTCTTTTTTTATGCCTTTGAGACATTTCAGAAATGTCATACCCACAGTTTTTACCTACAGTTTTTTTAGTCTATACATTAGAGGTTGATATGTTGGTGTTATTGGGAGACAGTAAAGTAAGGAGGCATTGAAACAGATCCATTATTTATTTGGAAAGCTCTCTCTTTATCATTGATGTGTAACTGCCTGAAATCCCCTGTTTTTCCTTTCATATTAGATGTTTTGCTAAAACGCATGGCAGCTTGAGTAAAATGTTTCTGTTTTTTGTCTTTTGTAAATGCTGCTTTCTCCCACACTCCTCTGTCTCCCTCACTTTACTTCCCAGGCTCTTGCCTTTCATCTATCATTTCTCTTTTGTTCTCACTGTCTTTTTCTATTGCATAACTTTCTGACCCCTCCTCTCCACAAGTGCCCTTTTGGATAGTTTTACTTTTTCATGCCTCTGCGTCTTTTCCATGGCTACATTAAACGCTTTTTCTCTCATTTTGCTGTTTGCACTTACGACGTAGAAGCGTATGTGAGATGTTGCGTGCATGTTACTAATTGTCATAGTGTTACTGCTGCAAGTTTTACTTTGCTGCATTTTCTGAAAGATTTTTGATCTTGAGTGTGTTTGTGTTGTCTCACTGCCTTCCTCCATTCTTGGCTCAGAGTTGTTTTTCTTGGCATCTGTGTAAAGAATGTAAGTGTTGTCGGAAAGATCAACAGCTTGCTACTGAATCAGGAAGGCAGAACATTTTCTTCTCCTTTGTTTTTACAGTAGTTGTAATTGGTTACATAATGGGTGTGTTTTTTTAAGTGTATTTCTAGAGCACTTTATTATATATCTGATGGTGTAGAGTGACAGGAAGCGTCAACAGAGATAGAGAAGGGAGACTCGTGATAAAGCCGATCCCAGTCTCTGTTCAGTGCCGTGTCCCCTTTAGACCCTTAGGCCACCAAACTTGTTATCTCGGCACCAGATCAGGGTCGCTGGGCGCGGTGTCTGTGCCAGGCCATAATGTGATTAATAATGGTTTGTCAGATGAGCTGTCACTGCTTTGCTAATATCCTGTTTGCATTTCTGTGTTGTTAACCCTTCCGTATGATTATTTTTAGCATGTTATAGAGGAAATTAAACATCATGTAATTAGGACTATGTCCTTTTATGAAAGTCCCTCTTCTCTACAGGTGGATGGTGTTTTTGTCTGCTTTTCAGGTCTGTGAATTCAGCTTAGTTTAGTGTTTGTGTTTATCTCGAAATTTAGATAAAGTTTAGCCCTAGGGGATTTCACAGTTGCATTCCTTGCTATTTTGGTATGAATGTTTTGGGCCTGACGAGAGTTAGGGGGTGGTGCTCAGGTTTCTTCTGTATAGAATAATTATATCAAAGTTATTACTTTGCTGTGTTTTGGGAGGTCTTAAGGTAACGCTTAATGTTATATAAAGTAGAAGAACTAAGCAAAAAACAAACAAACCCCAGTGCAATGACATATTTATTTTCTTGTTGGCTTATCACAGTACGAGCTCTAAACATGGAAGTGTGATGGTTGAATAACTGTTCAGGTGATCAGCCTGATAGAGTCTACTATTCTAACAAGTTGGAGGGGGTGTAAAGGTACCATCAACCAGCAATTATCATTCCTTTAGAAAAGGAATTAGACACGCTACAGCACACTGGATGTGATGGCTGCTGCTGCACATCTGTGTCACACTCCCATAGAATATGAATCACTGAAACATGTCTGCACACACACACCTCTACACGCACACACCACTTTGGGCATATTGTTTTGTCTGACACAAGTCAGATCCCACCTGCTGTCTCTTGGGATCAGACTGATCCTTTCATCGTACAATACCAGAGATGTGTGTGTGTTTGTGTGTGTGTGTTGCTCTCTGCTCTCTGCAAACTTGTCTCAGTTTTTTTTCTAAATGTTATACAGGTATGTGTGTGTTTGTGATCTCAATCAGCTTCAGCAGAAATCTCTATACAGGGAGTGCAGAATTATTAGGCAAGTTGTATTTTTGAGGAATAATTTTATTATTGAACAACAACCATGTTCTCAATGAACCCAAAAAACTCATTAATATCAAAGCTGAATGTTTTTGGAAGTAGTTTTTAGTTTGTTTTTAGTTTTAGCTATTTTAGGGGGATATCTGTGTGTGCAGGTGACTATTACTGTGCATAATTATTAGGCAACTCAACAAAAAACAAATATATACCCATTTCAATTATTTATTTTTACCAGTGAAACCAATATAACATCTCCACATTCACAAATATACATTTCTGACATTCAAAAACAAAACAAAAACAAATCAGCGACCAATATAGCCACCTTTCTTTGCAAGGACACTCAAAAGCCTGCCATCCATGGATTCTGTCAGTGTTTTGATCTGTTCACCATCAACATTGCGTGCAGCAGCAACCACAGCCTCCCAGACACTGTTCAGAGAGGTGTACTGTTTTCCCTCCTTGTAAATCTCACATTTGATGATGGACCACAGGTTCTCAATGGGGTTCAGATCAGGTGAACAAGGTGGCCATGTCATTAGTTTTTCTTCTTTTATACCCTTTCTTGCCAGCCACGCTGTGGAGTACTTGGACGCGTGTGATGGAGCATTGTCCTGCATGAAAATCATGTTTTTCTTGAAGGATGCAGACTTCTTCCTGTACCACTGCTTGAAGAAGGTGTCTTCCAGAAACTGGCAGTAGGACTGGGAGTTGAGCTTGACTCCATCCTCAACCCGAAAAGGCCCCACAAGCTCATCTTTGATGATACCAGCCCAAACCAGTACTCCACCTCCACCTTGCTGGCGTCTGAGTCGGACTGGAGCTCTCTGCCCTTTACCAATCCAGCCACGGGCCCATCCATCTGGCCCATCAAGACTCACTCTCATTTCATCAGTCCATAAAACCTTAGAAAAACCAGTCTTGAGATATTTCTTGGCCCAGTCTTGACGTTTCAGCTTGTGTGTCTTGTTCAGTGGTGGTCGTCTTTCAGCCTTTCTTACCTTGGCCATGTCTCTGAGTATTGCACACCTTGTGCTTTTGGGCACTCCAGTGATGTTGCAGCTCTGAAATATGGCCAAACTGGTGGCAAGTGGCATCTTGGCAGCTGCACGCTTGACTTTTCTCAGTTCATGGGCAGTTATTTTGCGCCTTGGTTTTTCCACACGCTTCTTGCGACCCTGTTGACTATTTTGAATGAAACGCTTGATTGTTCGATGATCACGCTTCAGAAGCTTTGCAATTTTGAGACTGCTGCATCCCTCTGCAAGATATCTCACTATTTTTGACTTTTCTGAGCCTGTCAAGTCCTTCTTTTGACCCATTTTGCCAAAGGAAAGGACGTTGCCTAATAATTATGCACACCTGATATAGGGTGTTGATGTCATTAGACCACACCCCTTCTCATTACAGAGATGCACATCACCTAATATGCTTAATTGGTAGTAGGCTTTCGAGCCTATACAGCTTGGAGTAAGACAACATGCATGAAGAGGATGATGTGGACAAAATATTCATTTGCCTAATAATTCTGCACTCCCTGTATTTTCACTTTAGACATAGATCGTTGCAAAAGCAGTTACTATCTAGTGCGTTGTTCACACTTTTATGAAGCGTAGCACATTTTTTTAAGATCTGGTTAGTGTTGTTTTCAGAGGTTTGGTTTCTTTTTATCAGTCAGTGGAAATGTTACATCTAAATTGTTAATTTTATGGCCAGCTAAAGAGAAAAAACAGCCTTGCACTGACTCTCTGTGTCAGTTGTGACTGCTGCTCAGTCCTTCTGGCTGGGACAGAGACTGCAGCGAGCATCTGGAGGAGAGACGTCGCTTCTTTATCCATCTCTGCTCTCCTGCTCCTTTGATCTCTCTCTCTCTCCTCTGCTTTTCTCTCTTCTCCTCAGGCTCTTTCTTATTGTGCTCCTTCGTTCACCTGGACCTCTGTTACTGTTACACTGCACCATCATAGCAGGAGCGTGTGTCTGTGTGTTTGTGTGCGTGTATCAGAGTCATGGATCAAGTTGCTGCACATTTATGGAGCCGGAGATCATTTAAAGCTGACATTCATAGATGTCCTCATTGTAATATAATTCTTGAAATCTTTCCAAAGGCAGAGGAAATGCAATCCTTCCCTTTGAAGCTGCCAACACAGGCAGTGTCTAAAAGTGTGGATTAAAACTGAGGTGTGAGTTTGCTTATGTGTTGGAAAAACACATAATAAGGGCAATATCTGAGAGGTTTACAAAAACTAGAATTGCATGCTTATATATATTTTATATAATTACTGTTTTAAATGCATCCTTCGCTTTAATTTTATATTATTTATTGAACACCACGTAGAGACCACAGTTATAAGCTAAAGGAGGCAGTTGATTTGATTAAATGTTTGGTAAAAGCAGATGGGAAATAAACAAAGTTGGCAAAAACCACAAAGAGTGTTCAAATCCACTACAGAGTACGTAAGAAAGTCACATGGGATGCGTCGTATTGTTCTGTTCTGTTTGAAATCTTGCATCTACTCCTTTAATCGTCTTCCAGCGGTTTTGTCCTTGCCTGACTATGTTATATTTTTCAAACATTTTCTCTTTTAGGAGGCGGTAGGAAGGGTTTGTCTAAAGGAGAGAGGTCGGGACGTATTGGTGTTGCGGAGAGTGACATCATCAGTGACATCGCCATCGGACAGGCCCTCACCAACATCGTCCGGGGGCGGGTCCAGAGAGGAGGATTGCGACAAGAGGTTGGTCCCTCCTCCTGCATAATGAGGGCCCTCCACACTAACAATGGCAATGAAAACATAATCATAGTCCTCCTGTCTCTTTTGGGTTTTTAGTTTTTTTTCTTTGGGATATCAAGTTGCAGACACACACTTTTGCATATGCAAGCAGAATATCAGTAGGGCTGTCAAAATTGTGTGGGCGTGTGTGTGTTTGTCTAGGATAATGTATGCTTTGGCTTCTGGCAGAGTGCAGGAAGGAGAGAATGGCTTTTTGTTTTCAGCTGGAAGAGGAAAATAGATCACATAAGACTGGTTTACTTCCTTCCATATATCAGTGTGTTTTAGGATCTTATGCTGTACGTATAATTACACATCTGTGTTCCTTTCCAAGTGCAGTTCTTCGAAGTTGATTTCTTTGAATTGAATACACATAACACAGCATACCACAGTCTTTGACCTAAGGCACAATGCAGGGAGTGTCAGTGACAGGCAGGTTAAGTGGGTGTATGTGTATGTGTGTGTAAGCAGTTTTCAGTGTTTTCCGTAGACGTTGGTTCTCTGTCAGAGTTACTGTAGGAGCTGTCAGAGAGAGGGTTTCAATCTCTGGAGCTCTCGGCTGACAGGAGCAGGCAGCAGAGCAGTTTGCATCCAGAATGAGCGACCCTTACAGGGCTGAACTGGGAACAGTTTAGATATGAAGATGACCTCTGAGCTAGTCACGCTTGCAGAGGCAGAGGAGGATTTAGATGAAGATAGTGATGAAGACGATGACGATGAAGAGGAGGATAGCAGTCATGATGATGATGGAAGCAAGTCAGAGATGTTTGCATTTAATGTTCCCCATTTTCGCTACATTGATGACGACGACGCGGAGGAGAATATGGACGAAGGCAGGGTGGCAGGGTGTAGGAACACAAGTGGTACTTGGTCCTCTTGCTATAGTGAGGAAGATTACTGCAACTCTTCATCTTACAGGTATGTGGTGGTGTCCGGAACGCCGCTTAAGATTTTGGAGCATCTGCTAAGTGATCTACGATTGGATGACCAAAGAGGGGCACCAGAGAACAAGGAGAGCGGTGAGTTTGGAGACATGTAAACACACAAACACACATTTGATTGTCCTTGAAGCTGTAGTCAGAGGCATGTGTTTGTGAAGAACCATCTACATCATGGCATAAATGTGTAGAGTTTAATTGTAAGTCTTAGTATCTTGTGTTAAATGAGGCCCCACACCACTTGCCAAGGACTTTGTTTCCCAGCTGTAGCAAGTTACAACACAACCCAGCCCCGATCTCTCTGTCTCTTTTAATTTCCCCGAAGTTGGGTCAGACCTGTGAGGTATGAGCATTTCCCTGCTGTGTTTGAGCCTGTGTGTGGCTGCATGAGTCAGCCCTCAAACCATATCCAGGTGTGCGTGTATGTGCATTCATTCAGCCATGTCAGTGGCCACAAATATGAGGAGCATTCAGGAGGTTAAATGCTCTAATGGGTTTGTGAAATGATTGCCACGGGGTGCTTTAGGCAGTTGTGCCGCAAACGATTTCAGTGTTAACTGTCATGTCACATTTACACAAACCTTAAGTCTAGCTTATTACATTATGGATTGTTTTATAGCGCAGTAATCTTTTACTCAGGAAATCATAGCAATCCTTGATGTAATTAGTTAATCTTTTATCATATTTGAATTTAGAAAGCACTAAAATCGTGGTGAAAAATTGGCATTCTTAAATATCAATGGGTCTTGACTTCTTTCCTTCTAATTACATTTCAGAGCCATCACAGATCCCAGGTCCACTATAATAATGCTTTAATCACAGAGGGAGGTCTGGGTCCCGGCATTCATTTTATAAAACCCTGCACTTGTCTGTTAGCATCTATTCTAGACAAGGCTCCTTTATGCATCAGCCCCCTCAGCACCACCAGTTCCCAACAGTCCACAGGGAGCCATCTCACTGAATTGCAGGAAGCAAACGAAGAAAGACGGAGAGATAAATGTGGGAGAGAGAGAAGGAGAGCAAGAGAGGACTGAGATGGTCTTTGTGGAGGAGCTCTGTCTGATATTTATTTAGTGAAAATGAGAAAACACTTCCTTTTTTTATGACAGCACAGGGAAAGGAGGAAGTGGGAATGCAAAATTTATCTTCATCTTCTCCCCATCTGTGTGTGTGTCTATGTCTACCTTTGCATTATGGTTGGTGTTTCCTGAATAAGCACATATGTGTATGTGTGTGTATGCGTGTGTGTGTGAGTGAATGCATCAGTATGCCGTTTTAGGTGGCTTAACGGTGCAGCATGTTGAACAGGCTCAAACACGCTTCCGCAGCGATTACCCCAAACACCCCTCACCGTGCACCGTGCACGCACAAAGAGAACACAGATGCAACAAAAACACAGCAGCAGATTAGTGTGATTAGTTCAGCACACACACAGTTTCTCTCTCTTCTTGTTTCCACCCCTTTCTCTCTCACAAGAGATAAAATGCCCAAGGTCAGAACTCAGTGAGTTATTCATCAGGGTGTTATGTGTGTGTCTGAGCGCATGTGTTTGACTTTGTGTGTGCCAGCGGGTAAACGCAGAGGGCATATGTTGAAGATGAAAATGGGTATTTATCATCACAGAGAGCTGGGAGAGGGTGAATGTAGGAGGAGAGAAGTAGCAGGGGGAAATGTAATCGCTAAGAAGGAGAAAATGAAAAATGGGGGTGTGTGGAGTGGAGGAGGGGGTAGATGGGGATACTTTAGGATGGAGAGACAGAGGGTGGGAAACAGGAAAAGAACTGATAAATGGTCAAGAAAGGGCTCCACTTCCTCAGATTGAATAGGAAGTGTGAGGAAAGTGAGTGAACGGGGTTCTGAAAAAGTGATAAGTACTGTCAGACCTGCTTAAAATATTTCTCAAGAGTTGTGTTTTTATTTTTAAAGCAAAGGCCGTTGATAAAATATTAATGCTTCAGCCTATGCTCGGTCTTCTATAATTGATTTCTTTGCTCTCTGCCTGACAGAGTCATATGTGGGTCACACATTTTCCCAGGGAAAGAGTTGACACCACACACACACACACACACACACACACACACACACACACACACAGAGCAACTTCTTCACAGCACCAACAATGGCTCATTACCCATCTGCCACGAGGGCTGTTTATATTTGGTTCTTACCCATTGATCACCTGCTGAGTCTCACACACACTCTTGGCTTCTGTCTTGCACATTAGCTCGCTCCACTCTGATAAATTTGAGTAGGTTTTTTTTTGTTTTTGAAGTTGTTTGGAAAATGAGCCAAGAGGAAGAAAAGCCTGACTTGCTCATTGTCATAGGTTTGTTTAAATTTTCCCCCGGGGACCCAAAAAACCTGGTGAGACATCAAAAATTCTCTTGACAAAGAAAAATAGCTCAATATTTAGTAAAAAGCAGCTTTGGGTAAAATTATAAAGAAAGTATAATCTGCTTCGTCAGGACTGTGTGGGAGTGATTGGTGACATAAGAAAGTAACTTTAAACTCCAGAATATTTAAATGTCAATCCAAGTTTAATTATGCAGCAAATGGTTGTCTCAAGGCAGTTTATACTGTAAGATAAAGACACTGCAGCATTCTCGAGAAAACTCTAAGCAGTCAAACAGCTGACTATGATCGAGCACTTTGTGTAGGTGGGAAAGAAAAACTTCCTTTTAAGAAGAAGAAACTTCTGGCAGAACCAGGCTCAGGAAGGGGGAGATCTCCATGTAAAGGGAAAGAGAAGAGTGTGAATGTTTGGAGTTGTAGTTTGCTATGTATCCATCTGTATCATTATCATTATTATTATTATTAATAAATGTGTACTATTAAAAATGCCTTGCTGGGAACTGTGAAAATGGGTTATAATTATCTTTGGATTCCTCACTATAAAGACACTTTTCATGTAACATGTGATTATTGCTGCTTTAAGTCTAGTTGAAGGGCAAGTAAAAGAAGAAAATAGGGCATTGAGCTCAAGCTTGAAGATTTATCGTTCGACCTCTCTTTTGTATCTTAAAAAGCTGTAATTGATTTTTAAAGTGAAACTAACTTCTGCTGCTCATCTGGGGAAATCAGAAGTTAATTGAAAGATAGAAGAATATAAGATACTTTGTTTTGGCTTTCCACATCTTAATCCCACAGATAAGGAGAAAACATATCTCGGATCACTTTTCAAGTGAAGATTTTAGATTTTTAACAATGTTTTTTTCTGTTTTTCAGAAATGCTGCTGGATGATTTCCTGTTAACGTATCTGGTGTTCATGTCCACTCATGACCTCTGTCAGGCCCTGCTGGGACAATATCCTTACAAGGAAAACCATGCATTGCTTCAAACACAGTCATATTAACACACATATTTCAGACTCCATATTCCCCTTTGTTGTTCCTTGACCACAGTCACCTATAGCAGCGCACGCTGCAGGGGCCAGGAGGAGGGCAAAGATGCCCTCTTCAGGAAACGTAAAGTACTGCAGCTTGTTTCCCACTGGAGCAGACTCTATAAGGATTTCCTAAAGGAAGAGGAGCACGTCAGGAGCTTCATGAAGGTATGGCCTTCTTCACTATTTCTGATTATATAGTTTTAAAGACGTGTTGAGTTTGATCCAGTCTTGTCTTCTCTTAAATGTATTGCTGAAGAACATCAAAAGGCTCATTCATCTTCATTTGTCTCCCTGTCTTCTAAATTAAGTTGTCCTTCCTTAAGTTCTGCATGACTGGACATCAAGTGCTTTTTAGAAAGGATAAGGAGCTTTGTGTATGTGTGTTTGTGCACATGTGTGCGCTTGCTGCATGTGATGACAAACTGATCGGCGTTCCTGCCTTCTCCCACAAGCAAATCCTTCTTTACTAGATTCATCTCGTCCTTCTGGCAAATAATAAAATGCAGGAGTTTCTGAATGTATCGTGAGATGTGTTTTGTATGACTTCACAGAAGAATCCAAAATAACAGTGACAATTATTATACAATTATGATGCTTTATTCCACATTATAATCTGGAAGCTTCTTCAATTTGTATCACGTATGGGCATGGTAGTGATTGAAAGCACACACAGAATCCTAAGTGTCACATAACCTCCCATAACTCACATTTTTCTTCACAAACGCTGCTTGTGTCTGTCTGCGTTCTTGTTATTTTCACATGGTTCGCTGCATCGACTCGGGATGTCTCTGACACCGAAGTGGAAACAAACAAACACACACAACACAATCAAACGTGTACACCCACACGCACACACATATACCCGCACATCACTTGTCCCTCCGTAACCTGACGGCTCCGTTGCTCGGTGCCGGGTTGCCATGGAAACCAAAGTGGTAGGGTTGGCATTGGTATAATCTCAAATGGAGTGTGTAACCCAGGTGATAGTTGCCTAGTAACAGAGGAACGAGAGGGGAATAGGGACCGGAGGCTACAGTGGGTCAATGACAACGATAAGGAGGCGTCTGGAGATGCGTGTGCGTTTGTGTGGATCCGTGCAAGTTCTGAGAGCTAATTCAGTCGCGTCACTTATTCTGTGACATGTCCAGGCATAGGTTTAAGTACTGCACTTGGTGATGGAGGAACTATCACACTGGAACTAAAGGATTTAAACAGAATGTATGTGTTTAGGAATGTAGCAGTCTATTCCCAGCATTGGTGTCTGTGCTGCTCCACCTACACATTACACCTACAGTTCAACTATGGAAACCCATGCCATGAAGCTCCCGGTGCACAATTTTTTTGTTGATGTTAACACCAGAGGAGATTTAGAGCTCTGCAGTTACTGAGTCAGCAGAGCGTTGGCAATTTTTACACACTATGCGCTTCAGAACTCGGTGACCCCGTTCTGTAATTGAGTTGCTGTCGTTCCCAATCACCTCCAGTTTGTTATAATACCACTTAGAGCTGATTGTGGAGTATCTAGGAGAGAGGGAATTTCATGAGCTGACCTGTTATGACAGTGACATCCTATCACAGTACTCTGCTCAAATTCATTGAGCTCTTTAGAGCGAAACATTTTTTTTAAACAAATATTTGTAAAGGCAGGTTGCCTGGTTAGGGTTTTGATTTTTATACACATGTGGCAATGAGACCTAAAACACCAGTATTCAAAGATTTTGGTGTGGCAACGTAGTCAAAGTAAAATTGATATTTATACAATTGATATTTTTAGCTCTGATGTGCATCCAGACAAATGTGTTATAAAGAGCTAAGTTATTTAGAAGAGGTGAAAAAACATATGTAATGGATATTAATATTAGCAGATAATGCAGGCTGAGGTATCAGACACAGAATGCGTTATAGATTTTCTTTTTCTTTTAGTATCTGGGTTTAAAAGTACAACATTAAGTAACAGATAAATGTAAAATGTTGAACTGATGCTTCCATATTTATTAGACAGCATGTATTTTGATAAAACAATTACAAATAAAGCAGTTTGGGGTTTGGCTAAATGAATCAAGACAATCTGATTAAGTTAACTTTGGTTATGGGGATTCTGTCACGGTTTGCCAGGATGTGGGGAAAGGAGGACCCAGAACGCAGGACTCTTCACTGCAAGCGGTGCGTTTATTTACAGTGCAAAAAAGCAATAAATCCCTGTGCTCTCCCTTTACTCCTGTGTTGTGTCTTCTTCCCGAAAAGTCCCAGTTTAGTGCTCTCTGCTCCTGTGTCTCTGCACTCCCCGTGCTCACTGCTGTCTCTCGTCCCACACTCCTCCTGAGGAAAACAATAGAGGCAGCCGTTAAAACACTTAATCCAAGCAGGAATACACTCACTGACTTTCCAACTAAACTACAAGACTGACGTGAAGTCTAACGCAATAATCCCACGCCGGTGGAAGCTCCATCGCTCTCCTAAATAACTCCCCCGACGAGCCCAGATCATCAGCAGGTGTGTGGCAAGGACTTCAGGTGTGGCCAGTCCTCAAGCAGGGCCACACCCACCAGGCCTGAAGTTCCGTGTAACACAGAAAACAGCTACATACAAATGTGGACAGAGAACAGTGGCAGTGCAGACGACACACACCAAATGATAATAATAATAATAATAATAATGACAACAACAATTATAATAATAATAATAGTTAATAATAATCCTCACTGCTCACAGATTCATAACTTTATTTTTTAATCTATTTTTTATAACACAAACATAAAGTAGTAACAGAAATAAATCAGTGGTCAAAAATATATATGGTTATATATCTATAAGATATTTTATCAGTGTGTTCTGACGTACCGCTAAGTTCAGATAACTATGGCACATACACAGCTGTTTATTACACAGTCAGCGCAGAGTGATGCTGGTTGTTATGTTGCATTGAGGTCAGTCTTTGTATACATGTGTTTATAAAATGTTCCTCACACTAAAAGCTGTGATTGGCTCTTATGCCTGCTGTGCAATAGAGTGAGGACACATTCTTTTTTTTTTCTGGCTCAGACAACCTTTACCATTAGTCAAGAAGTATTTAGCATGAATCATGTGATCATGGATTTTAATAACATTTCCTTTCTCTGTCTGTCAGACTCTGTACAGGTGTGTTTTAGAAGATCTGTACGAGTTCCCCACATTGGAGAAAGACCTGAAGGAGTTTCAGAAACTTCTGCGTCGCAGGCAGTAAGAGACATTAAAGAAGCGTGTGATGATGTGTAAACTCATCTGTCTGCCTTATTTTGACTACCCATAACCTCCTTCACTCCTTCACTAGTTTCTTTGTTTCTTGTAGCACGGTGGATGACTGCCCTCCAAACCAAAAGGTATAACACACAAATGGATATGAGAGAGAATCTGTCACATATGTCACATTGGCCACTGTACTTACTGACTTATCCACAACAAGCTAAAACAGATGGAGGATCTGTATTTTTGCATTGTTAAATAACACAGAAACAAAATTTTTAGATTTTCTTTAAGCAGTGTAGGTGCTGATGGAGATAATATAGGTGCTATCAGTGCCTAATAACATCCAGCACAGACTAGATAAAGCATTTCAAATCTCCATTTGTCCGCCGCTCTTCTCGCAGAGCAAACAAACGTATCAGCATATGAGTCTGAAGGAAAACTGTTTGCAGCTCCGCAGTCCACAGACCGATACCAGAGAGGGTGAGTAACAGACACAGACATACACAATCACTGCCCCAAACTCTACACAGTTATGCATAATTACAGTTGTGGAGTGTAATTTTAGTTTGCACATGCAAATTGCTTAAATTGTGTTTTCAACTATATTTTTGGCAAAAACGAACTGAAGTTTTCTTTCTCCAGCATTTCAGCATTCATTTATATCAGACATTTACTCTTGCCATGTTTGCGTGTTTTTCAGTTATTTGCTGCGTGTACGTGAGTGCCGACTCCTACCTGAGTGTCCACACGCATCCCTCGCTGGAGGCCCGTGAGCTTCTGCGGATTGTGGCTCTGAAGATGGACAGAGCAGAGGAGGACATGGTGCTCGCCGTGGTGTCGCACACTGGAGGTAAATGCGATTCAAGCACAATTCAAGTAGAACATATAGTCAAGATAGTTTTCTAATATAAGCAATATGAGGGATTTACTCCTGCTGCCTGACCTGCTCCTCAAAAATAGCTGTACAAGTCCTCCTAGCTGGGAATCACTGATCCATTTTCTTGGCTCTCGTTCATCTCTCTCCTTCTGTCTGTGTTTGTCTCTGAAGAGCGGAGGGTGTTACAGCCCAGTGACTGTGTGTACTCTGAGTCTCTGACCCCACAAGGAAAGCTTGTGGCCTGTCGCAGGGATCTTACTGAGATCTTGGTATGTAAATGGCTGCATTTTTTTGTCTTTCTGTAACATTCAGTCTTTAAAAGAAGCTGAAGTTGCAGCTTGCAGGTCCAAAGCAAAACACAGCAAACAAAGTTAGTTATTTAGCCTCTGTATCAATTTCTTGGCAAATCAGGCATGAAAATGAGTATTTCACTTCCCCAGCAGACATATTTTCAGTGTTGCAATGAGTCATGCAGCAGCAAACTGGAGAGGCTCAGGCCTGGTGATTGTTATTAACTCTGACTCAGTAGGAGAGGAAAACGTGTGAGCCACAATTATTGTGTGGTTGCCCGACAGTGACAGCTGGACTGGAAAGTGCCGTTTCAGGGCACCTTTGTAAAGAGGCATCATCATCACAGAGTGAGATCTATGTCTGAATGTCTTAGCGGCTAGAGCCTGGCTGATTTGTTGGTGGGGCGATATTAGCTATCTGCAGCACTATCGTTATCGGCGTTTATAACAGCTGATAAATGAAAAGGTCCCAGAACAGATGTGGCCATAATGCCACATACACACTGATGCAGATGCAAATTGACTAATGCTCCTGATAGGATTTTATTTGAGCATGCCTTGTCTTTTTGTGCAATAATTTAAATTTCTCTACGGGTTTGTATGTGCAGCCTCCTTTAACAGACAGTGCTGAGCTAAGCAGGAGGCCAGTTCGACTCCTGGGCATCAACACCTGGGATGTGGCAGCTGCCCTCACACACCTGGATTGGAGTCTCTTCAAATCCATTCACGAGGTATCCACTCATACAGATGAATCAAAGTCAAAGTCAAAGTCAACTTTATTGTCAATTCTGCCACATGTATGTGGTGTATGTGGTTTATGCACAGAGTTTTAAATAAATTCATATTGACGACAGATGCTGCTGAAGTTTACACATCAGAGTATAAGCAAATGCTCAGCGAGACTTCCTGGATGATGAGCACAGCTCAGCCAGCAGCTGAGTGGCTTTTTAGATGTGTTGTTCTTGTAAAAACTTTAAACATAGCACAGATGAAGAGACACAGGCTCCATCTTGGCGTGCTTTCCCATTTGGTACTAGAGTACATTTGAGCACTTTCTTTTTCTTTCCTGGTTTTATATCGTATACGAGAATTGTTTTTGTTTCAGTTTTTGATTTTAAATTCAAAAAAATTAAGCAATAGCAAGATTAGCGTGAAACAAGCAATGGCGAGGTAGCCTCGTTTATAGAGGGAGAACACACCCAAGGATGTGTGATTCTTGATGTTTTTCACTCACACTCTTTCTTTCCGTCAACATGCAGCAGGAGCTGGTGTACTACACTCTCAGCCGCGCTCCTGGCACTGGCCACACGGCGGCGCTCTCAGTCCTGCTGCAGCGCTGTAACGAGGTCCAGCAGTGGGTCATGTCCGAGGTGCTCATGTGTGTGTCGCTCAACAAGCGAGTACAGCTTCTCAAGAAGTTTATCAAGATTGCAGCTCAGTAAGAACAGAACACACACGTGGTCATGTAAACAAAATGAAGAGTATGTTTTATCTCCTTTTTTAAATAACATTTTTCTGCTTCTGCCTGTGTTGCACACAGCTGTAAAGCCCAGAGAAATCTGAACTCTGCATTTGCCATCATCATGGGTCTTAACACAGCTGCTGTCAGTCGACTCAACCAAACGTGGGAGGTAAGTCTTAACAGAACTGAGTCTGTTCATTACGATGCCTATTTTCAAGTCCAGCTCTGAGCAAACGCTTTCCCTTTCAGAAATGTCCGGGGAAGTTCAAGAAGCTCTTCTCAGAGCTGGAACTCATCACGGTGAGACCTGGTGGACAGAGATAGAGAAACACGCTGAGATGAAAATGTGCTATTCCTTTAAATGCTTCCTCCTTTTCTTTACTCTGCTTTCTGTTTTCCTCCATCTCTTTTTCCAGGATCCATCTCTAAACCACAAAGCCTACAGAGAAGCCTTCAAGAGGATGAAACCTCCTAAGATCCCTTTCATGCCTCTTCTCTTAAAAGGTATCTACTCTAAATCCTACACACACGTGCGCACACACACACAGAAACACTGAATGAATCCCTAATAAGCCCGTCTCCTGCTTTTAGATATCACTTTTATCCACGAGGGAAATAAGACCTTCCATGACAACTTGGTCAACTTTGAGAAGTTGGTGAGTTTGAGTCATTTCTTTAATGTCTTTCAGTGCCTCAAACCATTTCCATGTGACATTTAAGTATTTTTTCCTTTCAGCTTCTCTAGATTTATTCTGCAGACTTAAGCTTTGCAGTGTAGGTGATAACAAGGTCACGATACTTGGATATTTGTATTGTGACAATGAAAAAGTGCAACAGTGAGATTTTGGAAGTAAAAATCACATTTATATTTTTCATGGGGGTTTTGATTATGAGCTATAATGTTGTAATCATCCAAAGCAGACTTACTAAGAGCTTTTTCTGAAATGTCAGTGGAGAAAACAAATGGGAAATTCATGTTTGTGCTCAGGGTCCTTAAAAAAGCAGGGACTGTTGTGCTCTGTAGTTTTTGTTTTGTCAGTATTCTGCAATATATTATAACAATACCAAGTTGCATCTGTGGTGAATACATCATACATCTGATGAAGGCACCATCTACTATTTGTTGTCAAGTTGACTGATGAAAGTAGACGCTTTGTATTTCCAAAGTACATGCTGAGTGGTGAATCCACCATCACCAATAGTAAAACGCTGGCCTGTTGAAATGTGTTTGGTTTGTAAAAAGATGGATGGTTAGGACAAAAGAAAAGCTCTTGATGTTTACAGTCCACCAGAACAAATGTGATCTTTCCAGTTTAATGTCACCCTAATGCAACATGTGTTCTCTTAAACCAACAGCATATGATTGCAGACACGGTGAGAATGATTCGCCACTGCCAAAGTGACCAGTCAGGTGGGTTATGTCATTTTTTTACTGAACTGAATCTTTAGGTTCAAAGTCGCGCTTCTGATCACTCTATAGTGTAGTTAGGAAGGACATCCAATGTAAAACATATCAAACATGCAGGTTGCTGAAGTTTAGGTACTTATTAAGTATATGGTATATATTTTTCACAGTGTAAACAAATCATATACTTCCAGTAGTTTATAATCCATAAAGGAGCTGTCACATATATGTATGTACTACACATTAGAAGTTTGTGTCTATCTATAATGCCATGACATCAAAAAGTAAATATAAATATTAAAAGATAATTGTTTTTTCTTCTGGAAGCTGATGTTTATGCTGTTTTCAAATCCTTGAGAAGAATCTGTCGCCAACTGCAGCTCAGTTAGTGTACTGCATTTTTACCTGAGTCAGTTTCTTCCAGTTTCCAAGCAACCATTTCCAGACAGTCTTTTATTTCTTTCCAAGGCTGTAATACAGTGTGTTTGTAGTAACTGTGTGTGTATGTTGTGTTGAATCCACTGATGTGTGTGCGTTTGTCTTTTAGGCAACGAGGTAATTGGGGTCGACAGTGCGGAGGTGAGGGCGAGCGTTCACTACCTGCACATTATCGACAATCAGCAGACGCTTTTTGAACTTTCACACAAACTGGAGCCCCGCGCTTAAACAGAGACGCATGCACACACACACACACACACACACACACACACAC